CTTCTCATCCGGGGATCGGATGAGATTGAAGTCGCCTCCCACTAAAACAGGGAGGGGGGGTTAGAAATCTTTAGCTGCAACTCGTCAAGGAAGGCCGGGGAGCGGCGGTGATCCGCCGATCCGTAGACAACAATGACCTCCCATTTGAAGTTCAGGGCACGCTCGAAGATCTCCATACTAACGAAGAATTCCCCTCTATCCATGCCTCCCACCTCAAATGTGGCATCCTTAACCCCTAAGAGGATGCCACCCGAGTGGCCTGAGGTCCCACTAGAAGGGAGCCAGTGCCAAGCGAAGAGGTGGGGGCTCAGGTGTTCAAGCTCCGGCAGGGTGAACTCGGAGCGAAGGGTTTCTTGGATGGCCATGATGTCAATGTGTTCTTCCCGGATGTACTCGATGAGCTGGCGGCGACGACCATCATGGCCGAAGCCGCGGAGGTTCCAGAAGAGGGCCCGCATCTAAACCCCCATGGGGGGGCTGCTTGACCCCAAGACACGAGAGGCGCTTTGCGCGCGAAGGGCGGCCGTGCGAGACCGAGTGCGTCCATGGATAATCCCGTCGGCCACCGGAGGAGCCGGAGCCGCGAGAGTGGAGGGCGGGCCCTCCGGGGGCCGAAGCAGGCGGGCACGAGTCTCAGCCAGCCTGCCGTCGAGGATCTCCCGGGCCCTAATGGCCGCGATCTGATCTAAGGGGGGACCGACCTCCCCCTGAAGACAATGGCCGAGTCATTGGCCACCTTAGCGAGGTGGCCGAGAGGAGCGGCCTCGAGAGCAGAAAAGGAGCAACGAGAAGAACCGGGAGGGGCGGGGTCCGCACCTGACTCGAGGTTCCGGACCGCGGCGCGGAGCTCCGCCCGCTCGGCGACGGAAGGCGTAGGGGAGTCGCCCGGCCGCGCCGCCTCCAGGCGGGCGCTGCGGCGAGAGGACGTCACCGGCGTCGAGGTGGAGCGGGGCCTCCTGGCGTACGCCACTGTCGGAGGGGGTGCGCGGAGGCTGGGGAGGAGACGCCCACCGCCACCGAGGCGTTGGGGGAAGCCGGCGAGGCGAGGTGGTAGCCGGACGGCACCGGCGCGGGGGATGGATCAGACGGCCCCAGAGACGCCCCGACACCGCCAACCCCGGAAGAAACCGGAGAAGGCGAGCCGGCGGAGGGCATGGGCTCAGCCCCCGGCGGCGCAAGGCGGTGGGCAGAGGCGGCGCCGGGGGAGCGGGGCGACGATGGAGGGGCGACGAGGAGGCTCACGCTGGAGATGTCGCCGGTCGACGCCGACGGAGACGGGGAGGAAGCCAGCGGGGTGGCCAGGCAGAGGGCCACCACGAGATCGGCGGCCGACACCCGGGTACGCCCCGACCCCGACCCGCCCCGACCCGCTGGAGGGTTGGGGGGGTCCTGAGACGGGGAGCGAGAGTGCTCCGACTCATCCTCGTCCTCGGCAGGGTCGTCGAAGCGGGAGGAG